GCTAATGCTTACCACTCTAGAGAAGCTTGTTTCCTCTCCATTAATTTTAGATGGGATTAGCCTCCCTCAGCTAACATTAGCCCAAGTGAATAGTCTCTAAATTGTTGTCACCACTGCTGTCAGCAGTGTAGGAAAAAAAAGCCCCACACCAAAAGGAGGTCACTTTATTGTAACAGCTTTTGTTGTTTCTTTTTTGTTTTGTTCTTCTGGTTGCTTTGTTTTGGGTTTTTTTTGGTTTTTGTGTTTTTCTTTTCTTTTTTAACTATGATGCAATTTCTGAGAAAATTAATCTGTATTTTATTCTCCCTTCTCTGGTCTATGTAAGAAATGATTGTTACCATTGAAACTGAGAGTGTGTAAATAGAAAAATAATAGAAAAGATTTATGTTGAAAGGAACCCCTGGAGGTTCTGGGTGTGATCCTTTTCCAAGCAGATTCACCCTCAAAAGATCCTAATGCAGTGAAACAAAAGGTTTTTAAATTATGGAGTCTAATCAGAATAGGCCATCACATCTTGAAGAGTGAATATTGGCTACATCTATGGCAGATACTCTACTGTCAGACACAATATTAGACCAAAACACACGGATAGATGAGGCTGAAGGTACTTTAAAGTGTTGGTCTGTTCTCTTACAGACATCCTATGGCCATATGAATCTGTATCTCTGCTCCAAGTGTTTTCTCTGTCATCCCAGAAATAATACCTTTCTCTTCCACTTACACGTATGAGGAGTGGACATCCTTTAATGCATGAAAATCAAGAAGATTATATGGTTTGATGTCAGAAGATATGTTGCCTTGCCTCATAAGTATCAGAATCCTGATTTGCCAAACTTCAGCACTTTAGAAATACAGCCAAGTATCAGTTCCTAGCATTCATCTTCAGCATGATACACACAGTAAATAAAGGTAGGCAGATGGAACCAGACTTTTGGAAAAGACCAAAATGAATAAAGAAAGAAAAAAACCCAAAACTTAAACCTCTTCATTTACTAGTGCTATGTTGACAGGGCTCCTTTAATTTGGGGTCCCTAGCTTTCCAAGAGTTACTTTAAAATAAGAATGGAGAAGCAACAACAATAACTCCATTTTAAACTTGCTTTTCAGCCTCTGCTGCTGCCTCTCAGTACTTGAATGCCTTTGTGCATTTCTTCCTGAGCTGGGCAATTACGACTCTGCATTTTGCCTATCTGACTTGTGTTTCCCAATTTCACCTTTATTTCATCTCCCCAAATAGCTCTGTTATTCCTGTCTGATTACTAACCACTCCTCTGTGTGCCTGACCCATCTGAATAGCAGAAGATGTCTCCACATGAACTTGAGGCTCTTATATTCCACAGTCTGATTACACAGCAAACCACTTTTGAAGATTACACAGTAATACATAAGTAATACTCCCATAAAATACAGCCCCTCATTCTACAAGCAAGCTGATTAAACCCACGAGAGCTTACATGTACAAGACCTCCAACACAAGCACTGCTTTACTGTGTCTGGAGTTTCCTTCTGATATGTAAGTCCTTTATGCAGGAAATGGAGAAGCATGCAGTAGTTCTGCAATTATGTGGTAAGAATCAGCCAAGTAACAACTGTACTTTCAGCCAGAACAATTAATGCAATCATGAAGCAATTAGTGCAGGCAGCAGATGGTTTGCTGCTCTCCTTTTTTCTCAAGACTGACAGGAAAAAGCCATGACTGAATTAGGGACTGGTCTGTCAGCACTGGTAATTCAAAGTCTACTGCCCAAGGCAAAGACACAGGAGAAAGATATGCGAACAAAAGCAACCAAGTCACTGAAGCTTAACGAGTTATTGTTTGTCAGCTGAACCCAGTAATTAACCACATTCACTCACAATCAACACTCAAGAAACAGGGACATAAAATTACTTCAGCTAAAACAGATTTCCCTGCCATTGAATAAATCCCTATTCAAACAAACAAGATCCTATCATAGTGATAGACTCAGTGGGCTGTGAAGAGATTGAGGGATGATTCTGTGTGACCCATTTACTGTTTATTACAACTGAGCAATGAAAGGCATCCACTACTGTTGGCTTTGCCCTCATCAATCCTCAATTGGATGGACAACTCCTGAGAACCAAAACAGTCCAGATCCAATGTGGGTCCTGCCTCTCCAGCTCTTGCTCTATTCACCACCTGATTTCCCCATCCCATTTGCTGCAATGACATGATGCAAATGGAAGACAACAATTAAGTTGCTTGCTAGAAGGATGTAAAAGTGTTTTCTAGTTGATTATCACCTCTCTCCTGTCAACAGCAAAATTAAATGACTGCACCAGTCCTAACTGGTGAAAATCCAGTTTACTCCTCAAAGTCCCCATCAAGAAAACCCACACAGCCTCTTCAGTCAGTGGCATCAAAGTTAGTGGCATCAAAATGTAAACTCCTTACCATGCAGATACATTTCCCTTGCCTCCTTGGGTGACTCTCAAGTCAGTATACACAGAGTGCCTAGAATCCAAGGAGCAATGGATTCTCTGCCCTTAAATATGGCCTTAGCACAAGATCAGGAAATAGCTAACAGCAGTGTCATTTGTTGCAAAGCACCCCTCAGCTCCCACTGCAATTATCTAAACACCTGCAGGACCTCTTAATTACTCTCAGAAAATTCTGCCTTTGGATACACAAAGACAAACCAATGGGAGTCATTTACACTTAGCCATAGGCTGAACTTAACCCTTAGTTCGAGTTCCATTTAATTTAGTCCTAGCTGATTAATACTCTTTGCCTGCTGGTTACCCTCTACAGTTCTTGGGCAAAGCTTGTTGAAGTCAGAAAATGTATCCATTAGGCTTTAAAGTAGAAACCAGGGCTGTGACTCATACCCATTCAGTATACTTTTAAAATTCTATTTTGGAGTTAATTGGAACAGATTTAAAGACTTTGTGCTACCTGATTTTTGTCTTGCAATTACAGTATTGAATTACCAACAGTTATTCAATTTGCTAATCAATTCCATAACAAAAAAATTTTATAATACAGCCTAGATCCTTTCTCCCCAAACACCTCACACACACAACTCCAACACCAACCTCATAAATCCATGCTAATACACAAATGAACTCTGGTTTTATATCCAGATTGTCTTTTAGGATTCTGTGGAAGAGTGGGCATTTCTTATGAAATAGTGATGATATACTTCTTGGTAGCCATCAACTATAAATTAAATAAGCCTTAGCTGTATGGCCTCTAATTCAGAATTATTTCCTGACCAGACTGAATATCTTAGCAATTGAAATGAATTTTCTACTATATCCTACTTTTATTTGACAAAGTCCCCATTGAAAGTTTCAGTGTAATAAATTTCCTGTTCCTAAACACAGTAACTTTCATTCCAATGATCCTAAAAAAGACATCAGAGACCAGCTTCTGTTCTGTTTCATATCAATTCAGAGAACTCAAGAGCCACAAGGGAAAGGAAATGTTTTGGCTTTGTCTAATTACATACTGAACAAAGATTAATAATTTAATCTGTACATTCCTCTGAACAGAGTATAACCCTAGTACACTTTACAAAATGCTATGAGAGAGGGTGAGTGAAAAGTATTGTATGCAATTGACTGTACAAGAAGAATTAGGAGGCAAGATGCATTTCTCAGTTGAAAAGGGTATTAAGCTACAGTCTGGAGGATTCTGGGTTTGAGAGTAAAGCGAAGGAAGAAAATATTCCAAAAATTACAGTACCATCATTTTGCAACCTTACCTACTTACTTATGCCTTTGTTTTCTCAGGCTTACAGTAAGAGTAACAACAAGCTTAATTTATGCAAAATGAAAATCAGTAGTTTAATTATTTTACAATTAATTTAACAAAACAGATAGAAAACATCTCAGATTTCAAACTTTTATGTTGATCCTTACATTAATGTATAACCCGAACAATTCAGCCAATTGATTCTATTCATAGCTTCTATTCTCATAGACTCATCATAGACAAAACGAAAAGGAGACCACTAAATTTCTTTGTCTAAAGGCCTGTAGGCTAAGTGTCAAGATATTTCGCTCTTTTACCCTTGCTGGGAGCTCAACAAACTCTCTTGGTCTTTTTCCAGTGTTATTCAAAAACTTTAAACTTTTCAGGATTTGAAATCTGCTTTTTCTCCGAGCAGTCTGCTCCAAAGGCTAGTTGCTTTACAGCTGAGTTTATCTGCCATTGACTCCTAACCATCAATTTTTGTTAGAAGTTTTTAGCACTAAATTGAAATGGTTTCTCCTATGATTTTTCTTCCCCCATAGAAACATTTATGCACAACAATATAGTTTTCCTTCATATGCTTTTTGTTGAACTAAACAGATTGAGGTCTATCAAGTCCTTTGGCCATAAGAAAACTGACTTGTATTGATGCGTCTGATTTTCAAAAAATTCCAACAATAAGTTCTCCACAAAAAAAAAATAAAAAAATCCTGTGTTGTGTTAGGTTGGGCAGCAAAATATGATGGCAAATCTCACAGCATATTTATTTGGCTGATGGATTACCCATACTGAGGGAACTGGACTTCAAAGGAAATTGATTCACTGCTACTTTTTCCTCTTAGAAAATCAAAAACTACTTGAAAATATGCCAACCAGAGAGGAACAAGTAGTGTCTTATACTGTTCTTGGAGCTGATACTAAACTGGAAGAAGAGAATTGTCGAGTAAGAGGCCAAAAGCCTCATTAGAGGTTTGTGAAGGATCCTAGCTGTCTTCTCTGCCCATTGCCTGTCACACAATATTGCCAAAAGGATGGATGGATAAACACAGACTGCCAGATCAGTAATAGAGGGATAGGCCCCAGGAACACAAAAGATGCCCACGTCCTTTACTTTGACCTTTACATTGAGGCTTGGTCAATCTTTTCTGCTTGGAAATACCAAACTGATATTTCCAAAACTGTCCTGCTATCACCCCAAAGACTGTCCTGAATGCTGTGCAGCAACTGCACAGAGAGATGGGGAAGCTCTGGGTTCCCCCTAAGCAAACAAACCCACAACTCTTACCTTCTGATCTTGGCTGTAGGCTAAGATCCAATCTTCCTGTTTGGGGTGGAAGAGCAGACTGTGGATGTAGAAGTTCAGACGGTATTTTTGATAGGTGGCTCCTTCATCAGAACTGATTAATAAGCTGCTTTCAACTTCTGGATCAGTCAGCAGCATAATCTATATGGAAGGGAGAGATGAAAATGCATTGGGTAAGAGGAGTCAGATGGAAAACTAAGCAAGCAGCTAGGAACTTCAGAGAAGCTTATTATCTATGACTATTACAAAATGCTTCAATGTAAGGGCAAAACTACTATAGCCAATGTTTCACATTGAAAACTATGTTTCAGCTATGTATATAAACACATAACATATGATCAAATAGGCAGAATGGCTTTACCACTAGTTAAACCACACCTAAATGAAGCTGTGCTTAGCTTATTTGAAAAATTAAACCTGAAAATTTTAACAGTAGAGCACAGACATTACCTGGCAGGCACAGTGGGCTGCTAGGGTTTTCAGGAATGATCTATTGGAGTGGCAGACAAAAAGCTAGGAGTTAAGAAAAGAAACCCAATACACAGAGAGAGGAGAGAGACTGATCTCTAATGGTGGGTTTTGTTAGATTCCAGCAGAAATTTCAGAGAAGGCAGTTTCACTGCCTAAAATATTACAACCTGGCTATCTGCAACAAGCAGTCCTGCTTTGGCATGAGAACACTTTTGATAAGGTGCTGGGTTCTTTCTACCTCCAGTTTCTACAGTGCTGTGAATTATAGATTTGGTAGTATATCAAAAAGAACCTCTGCATAGTAAATTTGCTTTCTAGCTTTGTCCATGAGTGTTAGTTTAGGAGTGATAAAGGATACACGGCTTAAGAGTTGTAGCAGCTACTTCACCCCATTAGCAGTGGTATTAATTGGGCTGCATTGCTGATAAACCAGTGCCAATAATGAGCTATTCCTCTCATGTACCTCTGCATGAGAGAATATATAGGTCTGAGCAGTAAAAAGAGATTGTTCCAATATTTCAGCAACAGAGCAACAGAGTAATACCCCTAGGGAATGGGAATGAGGCATCATGACTGAAAAACATGAAAAGTTTTAAAGAATATTTGCCTTGGAAAGGTATTAAAGTCTTGAATCATTAGCGTTTTTATTTTATTTTTTTCTAAGTTGCTTTGCAAATGGCAAACACTGATCTGTTTTTAGACAAGCCTGAAATAAAAATATCCATACCTGGCATTTCTCAGAACAAATTCCCATCTGGGTTTGAGCACTGCAAAAATCACACACTCCATTTCCTTCTCTTCTTTCATTTAGGCAAGCAGAGTTAGACACAACTTAACTCACTACCTAGGAATTATAAGGAAGCATAGCATCTGCTGTCTGTGAGACACCAGATGCTAAAGAGCTATTGTATGTGAAGGTGTAAATACACATATAATCTACACAGAATACGTCCTTCATTATTGAGCAGCTGCCAAATCTTTTTTTATGTCTCTAGAACTAATCTCCTTGGTAGCATAACAATTTGGCTTCTGACTTAGAAATTCAGGGTTCTGCAAAACCCCTGAATTTTCAGAATAATCTCATCCAGTTACACAACCTCACTATATCTCTAACATAAAATAGGGTAATGTTTCCATTGTAGCATAAAGGTAGAATCTCCTATTATATCTGATTTACTTTAGAAATTAGTATTGAAAACGTGCCTTTTTAAACATTTTTATTTTCATTTAACACTTTCAAGTATTCCAAGCATATAATTAACATGATTTCCAAACTAAAGATTGCTATATGATAGAAGTTACACAGAAAGTATTAACAATCAAACTGTCAATATATACAAATAAAAGATACTGTCACTAAGTAGTCTATCCAGCTTCTGAAGCCAAAAATTTGTATATTTATCAGTTGCTTCCTTTGTTCTTATCACACGAATTTCTGGGACCAAATTCCTATGTTTAATATTTATTGATTCACTACTGTTATTCAAGCATTATGATTTTCCTATTTTTATTACTTCCTTCTTGAGTGTATTTTGTTTATGTTGGTATTTGGAAATATCACAGCACAGCATTAATTTGGACTAGAGCAACTAGAGCAGAAATAAGCACAAATCAATGGGCTTGATCCAAGCTCCCTGAAGTTAGTAAAGAGTCTCGTCACTGACTTTGGATTGTGCCTCTAAGGCAAGTTGTTAATCAAGATCCACTCTAGTCTCACACACTTCCTTCTACCTGGGCAAGGAACTCATCTGGCCTCATCACTGTCACATTCAAGCACATCACTGCCTTAACACATTTTCTGTCAGGCCACTCCTCTGAAGTGTGAAAGTGCTCTTATCTGCATTTCTTAAAAAGGGAATGGAGGGAGAAACTGCTGAGGCACTGAAGCACCTAATGCTTCACCCAATCAATAAAAGTTAAGTGCCTAAACAGACTTTCAAACACTGCTGACTTTTGCTTTAATCTGCTAACTACTACCCTGGGCTGTTAGCACTTTATTTCCAAGCGTCTCTGGTCTCCAAAAGCCTTGGCTCTGCATTGTGATAACCAGCCATTCTGTAGGTATAAGTGCTTCAGGACACACCAGTTTTGTTTCATATGCCAGTAGCACCTCAGATGTGGCAGAGCTGTGCCACACTGCCCTGAATTTATGCGAGGGCACACAGAGAGTGGGAGACAGGCAGGGAGCTGATGGATGGCTCTATTCACCAGTCAGATTGCCAACTAGGAGACCAGCTTTCAGCATTATCTGCTCCACTGTTGTACTTTTATTGCTCATCACTCTGCACACGTGTCATAAAGCAAAACAAGTTAGAGCCGACTATCAGTCACTACTCACAGCCGCAGCACCGTGTTTTTTATAAGATAAGCAAATTTCATTACAACATATCTGTGTGCAAATAATCAGAGTTACAAGCCCGAAAGACAACATTTATTGGATAAGTAGAATAAATTGATATCTCTATGAAAAGTAAGTCAAAACAAGAGGAAAAGGCTGTGTGTATTTATATAAACCTTTCAGGAGTGTGCTTCTGAAATTAGCCCTCCAAAATTTTGGGGAAACCTCTGCAGCAAGTCCTTGTGCTCTGACTCAGGCCACAGTGATCTCAGAGCACAAGGAAATGCATTCCTTTTCAAGGAAAATAAACAAGAACATCCCCTGCCCATGGCAGGGGGTTGGAACTAAATGATCTTTAAGGTCCCTTCCAACACAATCCATCCAATGACTCTGTGACACACCTCAGGAATGCATCTGATGTTTTCCAGCCACTGTTCTGGGCTTTCAGATCACAGTATCACGTTAGCACTGTTCTGAAGTCAGACCCTCTACCTCCAAAATGCCAAAAATGCAGATGTCATCTCAACATCAATCATTTCATTCTACAAACACACTTTCACTGAGCTGCACTACATGCTAATGTAGTTGCAGTCATGTTAGTTTAGTTTTATTGCCTAAGTTGCCTGGAATATAAATGAGAAAGGAGGGAAAGTACAATTAATTTTAATGCTTGTTTTGTTGCAGCATGTGAAATACAGAGTAAGTACTCTTTAGAATTTCCTTTTAAATAAATTAACCCAATTTCTGCTTTGAAGTAGTCTATTACCCATTGACTTGATGCAGCTGTTTATGCAGAAAATACAACCGGACACAAATGTGTTGAACAAGAAAAGCATGAAAACCAAAACCAGAAACAATAACAAAAATTTATCTAAGTTTAGATGCCATACACTTTAAGAATACCTAAGATAAAGATGCTAGAAAGAAACTATTTTTACTATTTTGGGCTTCACTGTAGAAAGCATGCTGGATTCCTGAAATGTGAGCTGCTCCATCAAATATCTTGCTCTGCTTTTACAGTGCCTAATAAAGCTTTCCCAGCTAACACTGTTTTTTGTATGAGTTTATTCCAAACATCACAGAGAAAGCAACATGACTTTTGCATATGAAAATCACACCTTAAATTTATCCAGGTCCTTAGAGCCTGTAGGGAAAGGAAACCCAGCCCATGAAGATAAGATTTTTGAAGTGCTCCTTGCCAAAGGATGTGAAATTGCCATCAGATAAAAGGCTGGAAAATACTTCTAAGATCATCAAGTCCAACCATTGGTCTAACACTACCAAGTCCACTCCTAAACCATGTCCCTAATCACCACATCCACACACTTTTCAAACACTTCCAGAGATGGTGACTCAACCACTTCCCTGTGCAACCTGTTCCAAATGCTTGACTACCCTTTCAATGAAGAAATTTTTCCTAGTATGTAATCTAAATCTCCTCTGGTGCAACTTGAGGCCATTTCCCCTTGTCCTGTTGCTTGCTACCTGAGAGAAATGACCAACCCCCACCTATGTACACAGTAACATCATCAGCTTGGTTGGGCTGTATGTGAACACTTGGGCCCATGATTTTCACGTTGGCAGTGTTTAAACAACCTCTGATTCCACCATTACAAAATCAAGTTATTAACACCAGAATTAGAAGAGCTATATTCATCTGCATCTCACTTCCAGTAAAAGCCCTTCGTAGTGAGAGACCAACCTTAGACTGCCTCTGGTCTGGTTTATTTTTGTCTTATGTTAAATAAAAGTGAAGAGTGAGTAGGAGCAAAGACTATTTCATCCCAGCAAGAGTAATTACTCTCTGTTCAGATCAGTGTTCAGCAATGATCAGAATCTGCTTATTCACACCAGGCAGAGCAAGCACACACTGCACTTCCTATTGCTCCAGATGGATGGTTTTTTCCCTTTGTAAAAAAAAGCCAATAGTTGACACAGGCTTTTGCAACCAAATGCAAGGCATCCATTAATCATCTCCCTCTAAAAAGGGAGAAACGTGATTTGCTTTTCACAGAAATAACAAATGGAAACCAAACATAATTTATAGACCTTAAAACAGTCCACAATTTTTTTACCCCTTTTTAATGCTAACTCTGCTGATGACATTGCCATTGACAATTATATGTACTATTGCTATCATCACAAAGAAACCCATGAATTCTTATCAAGGGGATTCTGATTTTGCTTGTAGAGATGGAACTGTGAGCCTTACAAAGTTGCCATGAATGCCAGATTTAGTGGCTTAGTAAAAAAGTCCAGAATTGCTCTCAGTCTTTTATTTTGGCCACTCATATCTCTACTTGAATCAGCTTTTTGCTAATACTTCTTAGGA